AACGGCGGCTGTTCTCTAGGGTTCTATCCTACAGACCAAAAGGAATCATTCACACGCCTTCTGCCTCCGTTGTGCCTTTCATACATACAGAGGAAACATTGGCGAGAAATTCTTCGTTTCTTATACAAAAACCAATTTGGCGATGGCATGAGCCGCGGAAGTGAAACGGTCCCTATCGAAATCGAAGAAGCGGACAATTCATGCGTCAGGTCATCCGGACTGAAGGACGATTCTATTTTAAAGTTGAAGAGCCAAACGAGGAAGTGTTCTCCACGAACGACGGAACTTGCCTGACGTGCACTAAGCGGTCCGACGAGTTTTTATTCAAATGAGGTCGTTAATCGAAGGGCCATCTGATGCAAGAGATGACGTAACTGACGGCACCGCAACGAAGTCCAACGAGGAAACTCATTCGCCCCCATTGGTTGCTCATAGGATGTTTTCCTTTCCTAACACCTTGCAGTCCGTGTGCATCGCCGGTTATGCACGCGAGTAATGCAGCCATGTTAACTATGGGCGTCAATGTGTTAACAGGGCAGCGCTACTTCAAAGGCATAAGTGTATGGGCGAAGATGGTAGACAGGTAAGTGACACCTCCCACAATTCAAAACTAACTTCAGAATCGAATCCCACTCGAAGGAAGATTCCACAATATGCAGGTCGAGGATACGAAAATATTCTTACTGGAAAGGAAGACAGACCCCCTCAGAAAGCGGGACAATGCGCAATTTGCTTCAAAAGGTACGTCGTCATTGGCTGAGCAGGACCGTACCAACGACGCTTGTGCTGGTTGATGAGCAATACAGAGCCGTGCTGGATGCTGCTGCTTGAGTCGCCAGCGATTGCTCTTTATTTTGTAAGGAAATTTTATTTCAAGCGGCCGTACCCTTCATTTTTCTAGGTAGTACGTCATTAATCCTTATGCTTGTAGGCATTATGCCGGCTATTGGAATCAATACATGCAAGCGAGATCGTCTTGGTCGCAGGCTCGTCACTGCATATCAACGGGCAGAAAGGGGGGGGGGGAGGATCCCATCTTTTCGGTTCTAGGCTGTTTTACTTGTTTTTTTTTCCTCACGAAAGCCCAATTGACTACCTCTACTTTCGGCCATTCTCCGCAAAATCCGCGTTCGAGAGATCAAATAAGCTTCCCTCCTAGTAGACGTAGTGTTAGAGCACCAGGCCAGTACTGGAAATGGATAAGACAAACGCATGCAAGGTTGAGTGAACGATCCCTTCGGTATGGTATAGGCTGCTAGAGGAGTATACAGATGTGGCACTCCTGTGCGTAGAAAATCTAACGAAAAGGGCGCTAGAGACTTGCAAAGTAAGCTGCAGCAGCTGCAATGTTCCCGTCCGCAGCAGGCTGTTGTCTGGCGCCCTCTCATCTGTTGCGCTCTCTCGCCTCATACTCTCCTCTCCGCGCTTAGTCTCTCATTGCCTTAGCACAGCCGATTAGGAAAGGTGAGTGAGCCCTTAACCTAAGCGTTTTCGACGGATTCTTTTCCTTTTTTCTTGCTGCCGGCCCACTTGCACCGATACATTCGTTTCGTGTGCAAGAGCCACACCAATGTGATCCTGGGGCATGCCTTTAAGGCTAAACCGATAGACCAACGCTTATTCTAAGGGGTGTATACGTAGTTGTTCCTATCATGCAGCTTGCTACAACGATCCAACAGCTCTCCATATCAATACACAAGTAAGTCTCATTCTATTCACTGACATCGCTGGAAGCTATCCCTTCTCAGGAAGAGGAACGGCCGGCTGCAGTCTGAAGATCATCCTCTGATCCCCGCTTTGTGCGTCCGTCTACAACGAAAGCCGTTACACCTGCATATTTACGATTTCTGCCGATAGCTTCATGGCAACTTGTAAATGTAAAGAGTACAAGGAGTTGTACGAAGATGGACAAACTGATGTCAAACTGCCAAGTGGTAAGTGATATGATGACGTCGTTTTAGGGGTTACTTTAGTTGTCTGCTGACTGCTGTCGGCATGAAAGTGGAAGTATCACAGTAGAAAGGGGCGTGTGGCAAAAGGTCACCAGCTGGAATCGTGCACATTCGGTCGTGTCGCGCGCGCGGCAATGAATTCAAAACGCCTGCTCAGCGCGGAAACCGATGGAGACGCAGACACGACGAGATAGCATACATTTGCTTGGACGACGGCGGTGAAGGTCTAAAGCATCCGCCGGAGCGTGTCGGGGCATCGTTATTCAACGAGCCCCCACACCCAGATTCCGCCCCACCCCCAGACCCCTTAAGGCTAAGGCCGCGTTCATAGTTCGCGACTCGGGAGATTAGGATAGTAGGCGACAGGATATTAGGATAGTAGTAGAGTAGGAGATTGCGCTGACAAGATTGGATACGTATCGATTGAAATCGCTGGAGAGTAGTAGATTGGGCGACTTCAAGCGAATAGATCAATACATATCTAATCTTGTCAGCGCACTATCCTAATCTACTACTATCCTAATCTCCCCGTCAATACATATGTTTTTCATTGTCGCGTACTATCCTAATCTCCGGAGTCGCGAACTATGAACGCGGCCTAAGCAATTGAGGACTGAGAGGAGTAGGATAGTGCAAACAGTTTTTTCCTCCATTTTTTCCCCTCCTGTTAAGCTCAGCCACCAACGATACCCAGCAGACAATCACCACGCCGGCATTCGCTTCCATATCAATCCGCGCTTCACACGAGTCGCTACCATATGCGCGACGTCGCGTTGTGACTTCTCGCTATCCTTTCGAATAGAAGTAGAAGACACGTCAGGGAACATACTCCTCCACCTTCCTCGAGCATCCTCTGATTACGAGAGCGTAGTTGCTTAGCTTTTCAAGCAAGACTGACAGTAACTTTAATTCAGCTCACAACTACAGCGCCCATCCGTTCAAATCAATTGCCGATCACGAGTCACGGCTAAATATGCGCGACGTCGCGTTGTGACTATGCCAAGATTTGTACAAAGTCGCACTTGGACACTAGATTCCCTAATTTTTTCAATATACACGCTCTATTGCTAAGACAGTGTTCAGAGTTGACGATCATGCCGAGCGATTATCCAGAAGAAGCATATGTAATCCGATTAGGCACAGTAGGCCAAACGAGGGAAGCTAACCGGACAGGATTGTCCGGCTGCAGCGTGTATTCACACCACTTGCAGCGCAAGTGGTGTGAATACACGCTGCATACAAAAATGGGAGAAGCGTTGCGGCGTCGGCGCGCCGCTTCGCGCGCAGGGCAAGGGAGGTAAACCCCAACATGCCGCCCAAGCACGCGCGCGGCGAGTTCAGCGGCCCACCACGATCACTCTTTGCCGGTTAGGGCACGGTGAAGAGTGGAGCTCTGCTGAACTGGTGCTTGAGCCATCATCCACGTTATCCATAAACGGCGCCTAGTATAGTGCGCGGGGTTGCTCGACGCATTCTCTCCCCCATGAGAGAGCGCAGAGAAAACGAAAGTGGGAAGAGAGAGTGTGTGTCCGTGACTTTCATACGAGCTCGGATACGGTAGCGCGCGCGCGAAGTAAGTGGTGTGAATACACGCTGCACGCGGACAATCTGTCTGGTTAGCTTCCCTCGTAGGGAGCTAATGCCAATCGCGCGATCGCTTAAGTGAACGAACAGCCAATCTAGGTACTGCTTTTTCTATCGCGTACTCCTACTCTACTAACCTTCCTCACCTAATCACCTGATTGACACGTATGCTTTCTTCTTTGATCATCGCCTAATCGCATGTGCCATCGCCAACTCTGAACCCTGCCTAAGCGATTAGCAAAGCATGACTGTGTGTTGAAACCCGTTTCAAAAGGTCTACTATTCAGCGCCCCGAACTGACAAACCGCTTAATGTTATCTGGGAAGAGCCCGAAGAGCTTGTGACGGCGGATGACGTTAGCTCGACAATGTTCACTGATAAAGTAATAACAGCAATAGAAGCACCAGAAGTAGAAGCACCAACTTTGCGTTCGGGTGTGGATGACACCACACCCGAGCGTAAAACTCTGGTACTTATCGGAATGGACGGAATGAAGGGCAGGGTGCGAAGGATTCGTGACTGTAAGTCCGAATCGCAATGCTAATTTTGATTTTCTACAAGCTAACACTGAATGAGGATACTTCCAGGGTTCGAGAGGAAGCATCGCCTTCGATTTAGTCAAACACAGATGGATGAAGACGATGAAAGAGTGGAAATCCTTGAGACATGAACATCTAAGGCGTTTATCGCGATAAGATAACAACGTTCAAACGTGATAAATACTCGAGCGTCAGGATAAATAATTAGAAATATGCTCAAGTCCCAATGTATGGTACAAAATCAATAACGATATTTGGCGCTCATCCGGTAGGGGGGGGCATTGTGATGCAATGTCAAGTGGCTGCCCTCACCCCCCACCTCCCTAGACTGGCCTTCACTCCCCCTGGCTCACGGGGTCCCGTACTTCGAGAAACCTGTGCGCCAGGGGAGTGTAGGCAAGTGTAGGCAGTCTAGGGGGTAGGGTGAGAGCAGCCACTTGATGCCCCCCTTACTGGATGAGCGCCCGATATTCTGATAATACCAGCGATAGTGTTGGAGTTGTCTGTACGGTCAGTTCGGCGAACTCTCAACAGCAGCTCTCTATAGCAGGTTCACGTGACTGGTGACCGTAACCCTGATAGCGGCTGTTCGAGGTATAGACAGCGTTTATAGTTGGCAGATACGTACATGGGGATTAGGCGACTAAGGCCGATGATTTGAAACCCAATATGTATCGATTAGGCGATTAGGCGAGTGGGCGATTAGGCGAGTAGGCGATCAAGCGAAGTAATAAGGTGAGTAAGCGAGTAGGCGATAAAGATACGTATTGATTTGTTGCTCCGCCCATTCAGCGATCGCCCAATCGCCTAATCGCATGTACGATCGCCAACTCTGAACGCTGCCATAGACTAAAACAGTTAAAGAAAAATGTACTGAACAGCTCTTCAGGTAGCGTTCATAGTTCAAGGCAGCACATGCGATAAGGCAGTTAGGTGATTAGAGGCGATTAGGCTAGGAGAGAATGGATACCGATCAGGCGGATAGACGCGCAGGCGATCACGCGAACAGCCGAGAAGGAGAGCAAGATTGCATACTCATCGATCTGGTTCGCTCCTCCCGCTGAGCGATCACCGAGTCGTCTACTCGAGAAAAGGCTCAATCGCCTAATCTACGCATCCTCTTCTAGCCTGTCCACTTAATCGCCTGAATTGCGGGCTTTCATCTCTTAACAGTGCCTAACTAGTGATCCAAAAAACCCGGCCATGAACCGCTCCCGTAGGCTTGAAAGCAATCTTGAGATGAGGGGTATATGGCCTTGGAACGACTCAGAAACTGAAACGTGGTCTGAGGAGTGGGAGAGGAGGGAAGGGGAGTAAAGCATGCCTTCCAATCGAAGCAAGATTATTTCAAGCTGTGAGAGAAGTTTTTTCAGAGCTTTTAGATTTAGTGTTTTTTGATTGGGTGGACCTTGATTCAGCCCTTTGATTGTGCGGGACTCAGATTAGGGTAGCCCTTACTTCCAGAGCAAAATAAGCCTCAACGTGGAAGGGACTCCGCGACGCATGAGTCGTTTCCTCCAGAGGTCCCCTCTCTCCAAGGCCTAGTGCTTAAAGTGACTCGCAGAAGCAAGGTGACTCACCTCTAATTTTCCACCTTTTTTCTTCTTCCTTTACATATTTTTTTCTGTCAAAACTCCCAAAATATCATCACCCTTTATCCTTATGAACCTAATAGAATAACCAAGAGTTAGAGTATAACACCATGCTTTTCAGGACAGTGTGAAAACCAGAGAAATAAAAAGGCATGGCGCCGTTGAGACCTTCCAACAGACGTTTCGGCCAGTTCTTTGTCGGATCGGATGTTTGCCGTCAACGGAAGCGCTCCACAAAGGACTTGTAGGAAGTTGTGCCACTAATTGTGCACTGCAGAGAAATTCGTCAAACAAAGGAAGCCGACGGCGAAAAGCCACAGAAGCGCAGGAAAAACCTAATCTGCATATTTTTGAACGCACGAGGTTTTCGCTATCTCAATGGGATTTGCGTGTTGACTTCGTTTGCGTGAAAGAAGTCAAAAAGAGTAACAAGGAAGCGCTCAGGCGCTCTTTGGACTTGGACATGGCTATTGTTAATCCCCGGCAGAGTTCCT